TTTGGTTTTTTATGCCACCTACTCCAGAAAATATATGTGGTATTGTCTCTTAAAGCCCTAGGTTTTGTTTTGTTTTGTTTTTGTTTTTCCCAGAGTAGAGACTCCACCTTTTCATTGCTGGGGGGGAAAAATGCTATTGCTTTGTCTTACAGAGCGAATGTCTGCCCCCTACCCATTTATTGTATAAGTCTGAACTTTGGTAGCATACGGCTATGGAAATTAAGCCTTCTATAAAGACTTCCTATAGAGGTGAATTCTCATATTGAAATGTAGTTACCTGCAATATTTACTAGAGATTTATGAGATTAAATTAAGAGATAATGTAAGAAAGTAGACTTTTTTTGGTTCTACATAAATGCTTGATGATTCATTTAGGGACCTAGAAATATTGTGTGAAAATGTATAAATATCACCCAAAAGGCTTTCTGCCCTATATATTTTTAAAATACAGAATAGTTATATTTTAAGTAGCCCCGGCCCTAGTTCTATAGGGCTTGGCTATTTAATATTTTTATGCAAGAAACACTTAGTTCTGGAAAAGGTAAATGCTTGTATATATTTTTGCAGCCTGGGATCTCCCTTACTGCATTTCTTTCTTTAATTTAAGTGGCCACATGTATATGTCTTCCTGCTGCGTTAGAAAAATGGGGGCTGGATATCCCAAGAATCAGAGGTTTTATAAAAAGACTGCAGATAGACAGCAGACAGAAATATCTTCCAAATGCTATCTTAAATTTTGGTCCAAACTGAACATTTGGAAATAGATTTATTGTAAGTGTTTAGAGTGATTTCTTAAATATGAACTAAATTGCTTTTAGAGTCTTTTTTCTTTGTCAGCATTGTAAATGCTAATAAATGGTTAATTTTTTTAACTGCATGTTATGTTGAAATAAAAACAAAGTAAAATGAGCAATTGTCTTATTCTTTTGCTCTTTTGGGAGGTTGGGGAAAGCAGCATTTCACAGCTTGGGTCAGTAGGGAAGGACCTCAATTGTTTCATCAAATAGAGTGGTTTAAAACTGATCCAGCTGCTCATAATAATGAATTCCTACTCTGTCTTTTATGATCTTATATTGTACAGAAGAATCTAATTTTATAAGACTTACAATAACTCTATTTAAGATTGAGGTACTAAATTTTCACCGAAAGATTGACATACCAATGTCAATTCATCAGAAATTTAAGTGAAACATGACTCACCTGCCCACAGAGGTCTCATGCTAAATGAGCTGTTTCAGTCAATCCTACTTTTTATTTATCTGGTTAATAATCTGAAATGTTACCAGGGATGATTCATAGAATTAAGACTTCTCTATATTTATATCCCTCCTTGGTTTGGATGTAACTCTCATTCTTCTAAACTCCTTAAGATTAAATATTTCTATTTAATAGTTGGTATCTCCAGCCCCCTCACTTTTTTTGTTTCTTTTAGAGTTATTTACAAGATTATTTGTATATATGCTATGCTTTCATTAACTAAAAACGGAATAGCATCACTGGATTGTATATTACTGTATTGGCATTCCTTTTTTTCCCCTTGAACTGTAATTTCAAATACTCAGGTAACTCTTCAGATATCACAGGGAGTCAAGTGCTCTTATAAAGGTCCCTTGGGGGCTGCCTCACTTGCATTTCCTTAAAAGATGTAAGACTGTTTATAATTAAAATTTTTTGATCTTTCATTTGCACATTTTTCTGTTAGTCTTGTAAGGTTTTCCCCACCTGTAGAAAAGACCAGATCTTACAGATTTCTGACTGCTTTTGTAACTGACTGGATTACAGCCTAACTGTACTGTAGAAGAGGTAGGACTAAAAAAAATACCAGAAAGATCCACCAAGGTGAGAATTGGCATCTATTGTGAAGAGAACTAAGATGAAGATACCTGCTTTTCTGAGACAGCCACAGGTGCTCTAAGTCAGGACCTTAGCCATGGATGCTGAACCACCAGCTAGCTACCATGACTGACTGCTCTCAGTAGGCCTTTCTGCTCACTAGCTTCAGGAGACCTTTTTCTTAATGGGGAAACAAGGTGATCAAGCTCATTTAAAAGAGAACCACTGAGCCCTGGCTGGTGTTGCTCAGTGGATTGAGCACAGGCCTATGAACCAGAGAATCGAGGTTCGATTCCCAGTCAGGGCACATGCCTGGGTTGCAGGCCAGTTCCCAGCAGGGGACCCACAAGAGGCAACCATATATTGATATTCTCTCCTTCACTTTCCCTCTAAAGATAAATAAATAAAATCTTAAAAAATAATAAAGTAAAAGAGAATCAGTGGAGAGAGGCTAAAAGGAAAGTGGGATTTCTTTTTTTATAATTTTTTATTTAAAGGTTTTAGTTATTTTTAGCACAAGGGGAAGGGAAGGAGAGAAACATCAATGTGTGGTTGCCTCTCACGTGGCCCCACTAGGCCACCAAGGGATGTGCCCTGACTGGGACCGAGCTGGTGACCCTTTGGTTTGCAGCTGGTGCTCAATCTGAGTTATTGCCAGGGATGTGCTAAGTGGGATTTCTTAATACATATGCTGATATAACAGTGATTGGAGGACAGAAACTGCAGGTTCTTCACCAGTGCTGAGTACACCCTCTCCAATACACCCTCTCCTCTTTAATCTGTCCCATATAAGCAGAAAACTCTAGCTTTAGTGTAGCTAAGAAAAGAGGGGAAGGTGTATTCCCCACAGCATGAGAAAATCTTCCATGGAGAAATAAGTAATTGTTCTTAGTGACCATTTGACTCTCCAGCCCCAAACTGGGACCTGGGACTCAGCTGTTGCTGACTGACAGCTGTTACCTGAACTTATACAATCTTACATTGCATAACTTGAGGACAGAAAGCTGTCATAGTCCATTTCAGTTGTCAATTCCTATGTGTCTACAGGACTTCTTTGTGTCAGAACATTTGTGGGGAGGATCCAGGGAATGTGACAAGGAGGAGGGTCCTCAGTGGAGACCTCAGAAAGACATTGTTGGTCTCTATTTGTCTTTGCTATCCTAGCAACCAGCACCACGACTATATTCACTTAGCCTCAGGGCAACTGTCAACATTTATTACTATGTCCCAAACATAGATATGCTTCATGCAGTCTTTTAATCTTCTTGGCCATTCTCAGAGAGGGATAATTACCTCTATTTTACAGGTTAAAAAAAATGATCAAAGTGATTAACTTGAAGTGTACAGAGCTATTAAGTGGTGAGAAGGCAAACTGGAATCAGGACTGACTCCAAAGGCTGCATGCTTACACATTTTGCTATACTGCTATCCATAAACTGCAGCCCTTGTAGTCTTCTGTAATTGATTCAGCCGCTCCATTTAATTGGTTTCCAAATCCTGTCAAGCCCACCTCCAAAACTTCTTTTGAATCACTTCTCTCAGAGATGTTCTCATTGTCACAGCCCATATCTTCATCCCTGGATGAATGTAGCAACTTCTTGTCATTGCTTTCATTCTCTCCCCTGCAATCCAACTGTGCAACCTCAAAATGACCTATGGAAGACCTTAGTCTCATGCTTTTTCCCTGCTTAAAATCTTACAATGATTCCTCCATTAACAGAATAAACTCCAGAACTCGGAAACCTGCCATTCATTCAAAGCCAACAATTATCTCCAACTCCTCCTTCCCCATCATTCTGGCACCAGTCACATACTACTGGCCAGACTCTGTTTTGCATCTGTGAATGTGATCTTGTGAAATCATTTCATCCCTCTCAGCCTGGTTCTCCATATGCAAGAGGGTGATGATCCCTTGTGTGCTTATTTTCCAAGATGTTTTGAGATCCAGTCTCTGCAGCCCTTACAGAAACAACTGTTGCTAAGATAGTGTAGAGAGATCCTGCACACCCTTCACCCACCTTTCCCCAATGTTAATATCCTGTATAACTTGTTACAGTTACCAAAACTAATAACTTGAGGTAAAGTAACACTAAGCTACAGCCTTAATCAGATTTCACCAATTTTTCTACCTACCAATCACATTTTTTTTTCAGTCTCCTCCAATCTGTGACAGTTCCACATTCTTTCATGACCTTGACATTTTTTAAAGAGTTCTGGTTAGATACTTTATAAAATGTGCCTCAAATTTGGTTTAATATTTTCTCGAGTTAAGGCCATGGATTTTTGTGGAAAATACCAGAGGTGATGTGCCTGCTCCCTGATACAGTTGGTGCCCGGAAAGGGGCACCAACTCCTTCCCCAGTTAGAGAGGCTACAGTAGAATGAAAATCATGTGTTGAATTCAGCAAGCTCCAATGCCTCGAGACATTTGTGAAGGAATTCTGAGGCTACTTGCGATAGCACGTATTAAGTGTTCAGGCCGGTAATGAGGCAAAAGAGTCACTAAACGGCAGTTGTTTTAACAAATAACTTACCGCTACAAAACCCAGAAATTTTTGTGGTCTGCGGGAGTAGAAAGCGAGAGGGCGGGAGAGGACATGGAGCTTTGGAAGGAAGGGTCTTCCTTTTAAAGCTGAGAAAAGGAGGGAGCATAGAGAGGTGAAGTGGCTTCTTCCAGGTAACAGGGATGGGGCTGACTAAGCCCCTAAGTCTGCAGACTCCCCAGGCCAGCCCTAGCTACTTCATCTCCGAGCCTGCATGGGATATTCCCAACGGGGTCCCTCTGAGACCCCAGAGACGCTTGGAGTCCAGACCCAACTGCGGACTCTCTCACCTCTTCGGCATATTTTGGCTCCGCGCTTCACTTTGCCTCAATCTGGACGCACAGGGGGTGAGGGTGTCAATAACCCCCCGCCCTCGCCTTCATACTCCCTCACCGCCCACCCCCTAGACCTTTTAGAGTCAGGCCTCGTAGACGGTTGAAAGCCTGCCTCTTCCGACAGCGGGAACCAGCATCTGTCCGACATCGTGTGAATTGGGAATTTTCCATAATTAAAGTGCTCCCTAGCTTTTCACTTTCGGACGGCGGAAGGCAGATTTCCCACGAGCCCTGGGGGATCTAAGGTCTGCCTCCTGGTCCGCCTTACGCTGGCTCCTGGTTGGCTAGTGAGGCTGTCCGTTCTGACGTATTCTTTGAGCAGGCGCAGAAATTCCTCCGGACTGGGTTGGGCTAGAGACGCCGAGCTACGGGACCGTCCGAGATGGTGAGTGTCTCTCTTTAGCCCGCGGCTGATGGTGGAAACCTGGCCGACCATGGCCGTCGCACCGTGCCCCTAGCCTTCGGTCCTCCAGGAGTGTCCTTGCGCGGGGCTGGTTTGGGTCAGAGCTGACCGAGGGCGGAACGCGAGTAGGGTTGGGCCTCCAGACCCCGATAGAGGGATAGAGGGGATTCAGGCGGGGCCCGTGCATCCCTCTGCCCCTTGACCGGAAGCGGGAGTTCAGAGGCCTGGGTTAGGATCTGACGGGGAAGGGGAAGCCGGCCCAGCGGCCGGTGCATCCTGGTATCCTGGGCCTTGTTGCGCGATTACAACGGTAGCGATAAGGTTTCCTGGAAGATTAATTTGTTTCAGGCACTTAAAGCTCTCTATGTAGTTTGGCTTTTTTCCTCACCACGTCTCTGTGATCGCCCCCGATTTTACACCCTTGAAATCCAAAGCCTGGGAAAACCTAGTGCTTTGTCCCAGGAAATGGCGGAAGTGGATTAGAACCCTAGAAACTGACTCCTGCCTTTTTGTTCTTGTGGTTCTCTCTTGCCGCTGGGACTTGGTTGCCTGAATCAGAAAAGGGCGGGTCCGCCCTGGAGGATCCCTGCTTTGCTGGCTGGGGCTGCGGGCTCCTTAACGCCTTGTCAAGTTTGTTTTTTTCATGTTTTTAATCCTCCCAACCTGGAAAAAACTTAGAATATTTAGCCATGTGAGTGTATTACTTCAGAAATCTTATTTTAAATTTTAAAGTCTCTAAGAAAAATTGAAAAGCAAAAAGAAAAAGTGCCATAACCTAGAAGCAACTGCTTATGTTAATTAGCGTATTCTAGCTCATCAGTGTTTTTCTCTTCAGTTTTTGCTGCATAGGGTTTAGCTCCTACCGAATTTACAGTTGTGGAGTCTGATTTCTTCATGTGTTACACTACAAAGAATGTCTGTACATCACGAAATATAAGTGATAATGCTTCAAACATAAGTAACTTCGTCTTTCAAGTCACGTTTTATTTCACGTCGCTTTTAAACTGTGAGAAAAAGTATTTTTTAGCCGATAATACTTGTGTACAGTAAAATACAATCTGAAAGTATCTTAGTGAAAAGTAAATCTTCTGCTGAACCCTGACTCCCAGCCTCAGTCTCTTCTGAAAAATTGGTAGTTTTCTGTATGTCTAATTTAAGCATGTGTATGTCCCTTCTTTCTCTGACACCAATTGTAGCTCACTGCTACCTTTACTATGCTGTTGTGTTTGTATGCATAAGAACAAAACATACTTAGAAAATTCAGGCAGTACCAAAGTATACAACGTAGGAAGTGCATATAATCCCATCTCATTCCTCTCTGGTAACAACTATTGGCACTTGGGTGTGTTTCCTTCCAGATTGCTTCAGTGCATAAGCACACTTACATGTAAGATGTTCATTGCATGAAACTGGAACACACGTTTATAGATACTAAGTTTACTTTAGGCTGTGCATAGACGTGTTCTGCAACTTACTCTTCATTTAAAAATATCAAGTGTTTTTCCATGTCAATATAACAGATCTACTTTATTCTATTTTAAGGACTGTATAGTATGCTGTTGCAGTATATACATGTCAGTGGTTTACAGTTTTCAGACAATGCTGCAGTAACTGTTCTCATCTCTTTCTTTTTTATTCATGCTAGTGATTACTGTTTGTGTAGGATAGATTCCTAGAAGTGGTACTTCTGGTATGCCTGTTCTACATTTTGGTAGAAACTGCCAAGTTGCCCTTTAGAATGGTGATCATCCATAATTCTCATCTTGTTTTACTCCACTACACAACTATTTTCATTTTTGTATGTTGTCCTTTCTCTTTGTTCACATATTTGTATTTTTGAGATGTATATGATAGTTTTTCTTTTTTTGTTTGTTTTAACCTTGTTGCTGCATCATCTTTGCGATGAATAACTTTGTGCTGTGTAATAATCAGTGAAATAGCTGTACCAGATTTGCCAAACCATTCCCCTTGTGTACATTCGTGTCGCTTCTAGTTCTTCATCAGTAGAGCTAGTGCTGTAATGAATGCCTCTGACTGTACAGTTTTCCTTTTTTAAAAAAAAAGTTTATCAAAAAATAAAATAAAGTTTATCAGATTATTCCCTTAGGTGAAAGTCTCAAGAAAAGAATTTTTGAGGTGAAAGGACCAATACTTTTTGGTTCTTGTAATAGCGTTATCCCGTAGCTATCCCAAAAGGTCATGTTGCCTTTGTACCAATTTTGCCATAACATTGCCAACATGAAAAAATTACCTCAGCATTGCTATAATTTTTCATTTCTTTATTTACAGGGAGTAATGAACATTATTCTGTGTGTTTGTAATTTCTCTTAGGTGTATTTTCTACTAGTATTACTTTTGCCCACTTAACTTTTAAAGACATGCTATTTTCCGTAATCATTTTGTTTGATGTTTTGGAATCATTCTTGTTTGTTCTATTTGATGCAGATGTTTTTATATCCTTTTGATTCATTCTTTTATAAAAATTCAAAACACTTTTTAAATTTTTAATTTATTTTTAGAGGGGAAGAGAGAGAGAAAAATTAATGTGTGGTTGCCTCTCCTGCATGCCCCCACCAGGACCTGGCCTGAAACCCAGGCACGTGCCCTGACTGGGAATCAAACCAGCCAGCCCTTACTTTGCGGCTGGCACTCAACCCACTGAGCCACACCAACCAGGGCAAAATTCTAATTTTTATGGTTAGTAGTCAAGTTGGTCACAGTTCCCTTGTGAATCATTTGCTTCAGATGGTTATTTCTCCTATGCTGAACCAATAAATCAGTGTGTTTTATTTTTCATAATTCTTGTAGCCTTCTTGTTTTCATGTGGTTGTAGTTACCAAGCACTTCATTTTTGCATTTAGCTGTTTTTCTGTAAGGTTACATCATTAACCTTCTGTGGTTTATTCTGATCATCATTGTTACTCTGTGTATTATTGGGTTGGCCAAAAAGTCCCCATGGCTTTTTCCATAAAAGACACATACACCCTGGCTAGTGTGACTCAGTGGATTGAGTGCTGGCCTGCAAACCAAAGGGTTGCTTGTTCGATTCCCAGTGAGGGCACATGCCTGCCTTGCAGGCCAGGTCCCCAGTAGGGGGCACATGAGAGGCAACCACACATTGATGTTTCTCTCCCGCTCTTGCTCCCTTCCCCTCTCTCTAAAAATAAATAAAAATTTAAAAAATAAAGTGGAAAAGACACATATATATTTCATTTTCAGTAATAACTTGATTGATTTGGATGTTTTGAGTATGTCAGCCATCTCCCACGTGGCATAATGTTGATCTCAATTAATGTCTTGATTTAATTGCTGTCAGCTTCAGCTGGTCTACCCAACCGTGGAGCATCTTCCAGAGAGAAATCTCCAGCACAAAACTTCGCAAACCACTTTTGACATGTTCGATCAGTCACAGCACCTTCCCCACACACTGTACAAATCTTTTTTTTTTTTAGTTTCAGTTGCATTTTACATTTCTTGAAATAATAAAGCACAACATGCCAAAAATGTTGCATAAACTTCTTCCATCTTCAATATTAAAATGGCTACACAAAAATTCACCAGTTTTGATGTTTTATTTTTGATTCACACTGATATGACAGCTGTCACAGTACAAATCTAATAAAATTGTTTTGAATGAAGTTAAAGACAACTAAGCACTACTAGGACCATCTTATGGGAAAAAAACAGACAAACTTTTTGCCCAATCCAATATATTCTGGTGAATAGACATTCCATAATTTACTTGGCCTTTTCCCTAATTATTGGGCATTTGCGGCTCTTTCTGCTTTTTGCAAATGCTGATGTCACTACACCTTGCCGTGTCTTTTTGCTTCTCTGGCATTACCTCCTTAGGATGAATTTCCAGGAAAGTTACCAGGTCAGACTGAGTACTGTGGTGATCATATCCCACTTCACCGTGCCTCTGCAGAATAGTACATAGTAGGAACTCAGTGAGTCTTTTGAATGAACTCTGATCTCTTATGTATGACCCACTGTACTATATACTCTCATGTAGCCCTGTCCTTTCACACAGGCTCCAGCTTTTAGAGGTGACAGGCTACTTTGTAGGAGGAACTTGTTTGCCCTTCTCTCCAGCATTTGAGAGTATTCTTACATCATAGGGGAGTAGGTGGTAGTGACTGGAATGTTAGCCTTTTTCCTACTAGAAAGACAATAGCTCATTGTGCCATCTCCATCCACTGTTTAGAAGCTCCTCCTCCCAGGCCAACTCATGAGCTTCTGGGGATGTGGAACCACTCTCTTGGAGAATGGAGCCTCTATTTCCAATGTAGTCTAACTCCCAGCCTGTCGAGGGTTCTGGCTGGATTCTGGACCCATCTGGAAGGGGCCTTCAGAGAACGAGCTCACTGCAGGGCCCGTTTCCGTCCACAGGAAGAGTTAGGCTGGCTTCAGCTGAGCAGTTGTGACATTGAGTTTCTATTCTGCAGACCATTCTGTGTATCCCCAGCAGGGTACGGTCAAGAGTTTGCAGTGTCAGGAGTGCTAGACTCCGCTGAGTTGGGGATCAGTAAAGGTTTTTCGAAGGAAGTGATGTCTTAAACGTCTAGAAGAATTTGTTGGATTTCAGCAGAGAAGAGGCCTTATTAGGATAAAAAGAGATGGAAACAGGTGTGGGCATGTAGATGGGGAGTGGGGGGTAGGGTAAAAGATGTGCGTGATTAACATAGAAGGCTTTGCGTGGCAGGGCGCCAAATGTCTGATTGTCCCCTCTGCTTACTGATCCCATATGCCAGAGCATCCCACCCTGACTAGTTTCTGGAGAATCAGGATTAATGAGCCCCTGCCCCAGGCATATTTCCTGTGGCTGTGAGCCATATGTTATACTATCTCAGACACTAGCTTATTAAGTCGCCGAGTCTGTCCTCATGGGGTCATTTTGCTTCCTTTGGAATGTTTTCAGTTGTGCTGTTTGGGCCCCAAATGACAGCGTCTCCTTCCTGTTAGACACCACTGTTTGGGTTTTTTTCAAATCATCGTCGTCCTGTACCCTAGGTGTACCAGATACGTGAGTCACGGATGTGTCTATACTCCCAGGAGTGGTATTACTGTTCTGCTCCCGAATAGCTGAGGCAGGAGGGGTAGTAGTGCCTGGTAGGCGAAGGGCCAGGAGGAGCCCTGCCCTATGCCAGGGGTTGAACAGATGACTTTGGTGCTGGTGAAGGCTTGGGAACCACTCTAAACAGGCCTGGAGAGCTTTGAGGAGGTGTCACATGTCCAGGTGTTACTTGTTTGTTGTTGGAAAACAAATGTGTGATTCATCTGCCAGGGTAAGAGGGAGTTAATCCAGCTTTCCTGGCCCCTCCTAACCTCGGTCTTATTCTCTCTGGCAGGCAGAAGTGGAGGAGACACTGAAGCGACTTCAGAGCCAGAAAGGAGTGCAGGGAATCATCGTGGTGAACACGGAAGGTACACCCTCCCCTCCCACCGTGACCAGTACTCGGGCGGGGCCCAGAAAATGGCCCGAACACGGCGTGGCACTTGCTGTTTACCAAGCCCCTTCATGAATTTTCACCCTTTTTAAAACACCTGCATTGTCCTAGCACTGTTGCTGAATTCTGACTTTTAATAAAGGAAAAAAGTCACTCAGTCCCACTGTCCTGACAGAGCACACTTTTCAGTGTGCCATGCTTTTTCAGCCCTTGTTCAGGTGCATTTTCTCTTCCCCATAATTATAGTTGTTACTCTTTTTTTTTATATATACTTTTAAGGGAGTTTGAGTTTATATATATATATATATATATATATATTATTTTTAGTAGAGGAAGAGAGAGAGAGAAATATCTGTGTGTGAGATATACATCAATGGGTTGCCTCTCGAACACCCTCAACTAGGGACCTGGCCCACAACCCAGGCCTATGCCCTGACTGGGAATCAGACCGGTGACCTTTTGGTTCGCAGGCTGACAGTCCACTGAATCACACCAGCCAGGACTGCAGTTGTTATCTTTTGCATATGTTTACTCATGAAGTTTGTTTGTTTTGCTTCATGGTTTACATAAACGTGACTTTTTAACTGCCAGTACAATGTTTATTAAATTATCCCTCATTTATGTTGTTTCCACTTTTTTGTTAGGTGATACTCTGGTCAACTTCTTTATGCCTGTAGTTTTTCCCTTCTCTTCTGGAACGTTATTTCACTAGAAGAGTACAGATACTGATTTTCCCTAACCGCTATAGACATGGCGAAGAGGGAGACTAACATTTCTCACCTGCCTGTTTTGTGCCAGGCTACAGACTGGTAAACCGACTTTGTAAACAAATTTCATTTATCCCTTAAAGCAGCCCTTTCTCCATTTTGCAGTGGAGAAAACTTGAGTCTAGAAATCAGTCGACTTGCCTGCCACTACAGAGCCAAGATGTCATTCCAAGTCTGTCCGAGGCACTTGTGCACCTTCTCTCACACCTGTGTGAAGGACCAGGGAGTGGCTGCAGGTCTGTGGCCCAGAGTCCCGCGGCTGGGCTTCCCCAGTTCTCTGGTTCAGCGTATTCATTCATCTGGAGTTGTTTGAGGCCCTGTGAGAGCCCCTGTGTGTGTCATTGCTCTGGGCCTTGTTTTGGAAAGGCCAAGTTCTCAACGGTGCCTTCTCTGGTAAAGCAGAATGAACGTCACCAAAGGTGATGAAGTGGAGGTGTCATACCCTCAGAGTGTCATTTTCCAAGTCATTAGACCCTGGCCAGCCCAGAGTTAGGCAGAGGCTACTCCTTGGCTTTGTTGAACCCTAATTAGACCATGTGGTCATCGCATTTAAAGGAGGCAGCAGGTTGGGAGCGCTCAAGACACTGGGAGATGCAGCAGGCCCCAGCTTAGGTCTGTTACAGGGCAGCAGGTGGGCCTGGGCCTTTGCCACCTCCTCTTCAGGCCTCAGCTGCCCCAAGTGGAGCGGTTGGTCCAAGGCCCGAACAGCTGTTTGTATGTCACTCAGAGAGAGACTGTCTTTTGGGACCGGACCTTTTTGACCCCAAATGGGAGGGAACAGCCTCAGGAGCTGACTCTTCAGCTGGGAGCCCTAGACCTTCACTAGTATTGTGGTATTCACAGACCATAAGCCTCCATTCTTGCCTTAAAGCTGCCCAAAAGTTGAACGTGTTCATTGGAAAGATACAGCCCCAACTAGGGGTACTAAGGAGCATTTTGGATACTAATGAGATACTAATGATACTAATGAGCATTTTTTTGTATGCTAATGTGGCAGTATTGCTCAATGGTAGAGAATATGGGCTGTGGAACCAGACTGCCTGGGTATTTGTTTTGTTTTGGTTTTTGTTTTCCCCTCAGGAAACAAGTTGCAGAGGCAGAAGAGGGGCCCTTGGAGTATAGGAGAGAGGGGGGGGCAAGGAAAACGCACCTGAAATCTGGGAAAAATCACTTCCCTTTTCTGTTTCAGTGTCTCATCGGTAAAATATAATCATACTACCTCCTTCTCAGGGAAGCTTTTAGAATAGTAAGTGCCATTAAACTGTTAAAGTTATTGTGTGTGTTTATTTTTGTGTCCCGTTCATAGAGCTTACTCTTCGATCTTATTTATTACATTCACACAGTGACCCTGCAAGGCAGGGTTTTTCTCATTTAAAAAAAGTGTTAACGTGTTTATTGATTTTAGAGAGAGAGGAAGGGAGAGCAAGAGAGAGACATCGATGTGAGAAAGAAACAATTGGTTGCCTCCCATATACACCCTGAGCGGGTATTGAACCTGCAGCCTAGGTATGTGCCCTGACCAGGAATCGAATGCCCAACCTTTTGCTGTATGGGATGATGCTCCAACTGATTGAGCCACACCCGCCAGGGCTGTTTGCCCATTTTTCAGATGAGAAACCTAAAGCTGAGAGAGGCAAGGTGACCTGCCCAAGGTCACCCAGCTGTGGGTGGGGATGGCCAGAATTCACTTCTCAGAGGGCCTTGAAACCCTCTGGAAGCTTCCAATTAAGGACATTTCAACTCAGTTGCCTCTTCCTGTGGGCTGCCTTCCCTGACCACCCAGCCCAGTGTGGTCGCTCTTGCCCCTGAACTCATCACACACCTTGTTCTAAAACTTACCAACAACCTGCCACTGCATTTTGACATCTCTGTCTTAGCCAAATGGCAATGATGTTTCATGATAAAAGTCTGAATTTAAGACAACTTAGCAAGAATTTAAGGAACATTCTGGTCCATTTGTACCTCTCCAGCCCCCCTGCTACCCTCTGCTGCTACCCGCATAAGGTGGTATAACGGACTCAAATGTGTAAGCCCCGTAGGGCCAGGGGTTTGTCTCCCTGTTCACGACTGTACCCCAGCACCTGGAACAGCGCTGACACAGTCTGTGTGTAATAAATGTCTATTAAGTTTTGTTAGTTTTTTTATTGTTGATGGACGGAGTCGGGTTTGGTGGAAGGTCCTGGCTATACGACCTGACAGATCTGAGTCTCGGGTTAGAAACTGTGCCTCCCCGGTGACCAGCGGCTCTGCAGGCTGCATAGGCCCCATTTGTGAAGGCGGTGGCTCGGGGGCAGACGGCCTGGTCACTGCAGTGTCTTGCAAGTGTCCCAGCTCTGGCAGCCTCTGATCTCTGACCTTTTTTGAAATTCTCCCCAGTTTTGGTCCCTGGCCTACTCCATCTTCATGTTTTGTTTCTTTGTTTTAGGTTGTGTTTTGTTTTTAAATTTTTATTTACTGGTATTAGAGAGGGGAAGAGAAAGAGAAACATCAATTTGTTGTTCCACATACTTATGCAATCATTGGTTGATTCTTGTATGTGACCTGACCAGGGATTGAACCCACTACCTCCGTGTATCAGGACAACGGTCAACCAACTGAGCTATGCAGCCAGGGCCTTCTTTTGTTTTTAATGCGAGCCAGCAAGTGGTTAGATTCTTGTCTCCTTTACACACCCTTTCACTTGGTAGGAATGTAATCAAACACATGTCTGAACTACTGAAAGTAGCCCTTGTGACTTCTCATTTATTAGCAGCGATTAATGCTTAACACAGCCTCTCCAAACACACTGGTAAACAAATCAGACCTGGCCCTGGCTGGGGAACACACGTAATGGTCACCTCCATAAAGGTGTGATATCAAACTCAAGTAACTGCGGAGGAAAATCGCATGGTGCCAGGATGATAGAATGGGCAGCTCACCACATCTGGGGGTGGCTGGGGCCACCAAAAGATGGAGGCCTGAGGGACCAGTGGGAATTATGAGAGAATAGGGGAAGAAAGGGAAGTTCCAGGCAGAGGAACCTGAGAGCAGGTGCCCTTGTATACAAAAGAGAAGGTCAAGGGGTTTGATCTAAACTTTGCCAGGCCTTGAGATTTGCCTCTGAAGTTGCCGGGGGGGGGGGGGGGGGTAGGATAATATGTTTATTGATTCTGGACAGAGAGGAAGGGAGAGAGAAACACCGGTTGGTTGCCTTGCACACATGCCCCAGCGGGGAATCAGACCCAAAACTTAGGTATGTGCCCTGACTGGAGATCAGATCCCCACCCTTTTAAGTATATAGGATGGTGCTCCAACCAACTGAGCCATCCCAGCATGGGCCTCGCTACACATTCTTAAGTCATACTTAATCCTCACAGCAGTACTTTGAAGCACAGGCATTTTACAGATGAGGAAATGGAGGCGTAGAGAAGTTTGATCACTTGTCTGAGGCCACATAGCCATGAAGGGGCAGAGCAGGGGTGGAAGTGCAGGTCATCAGATTTCAGAGTTCCTACTCAGTCATCACCCCAGCTGCTCATACTACCATCCTCAGAAAGGTTCCACTGTTGAGCAAGGCCCTGGTGGGCACATTGTTGCCAGCTAGGACCCAACAGCACCGTCTGGTGACCCACTTGTCTTGTCTCTTAAAGGCAAGTGATTACTACATCCTGTTTTCTTGGCTTCAGTTGGTTCAGAGCAGCCTCTCTGACTCAGCTGCTTCTCTTGCTACTGTGTCCTCTTCTGCCCACTGTTGTGTCCCTGTGCCCTCAAAAGACAAGATTGAGGCAGTTTCTTGCCGCCCATGGGTAGGCCTGAGGGTGGCTGCTTTTGGCTGAGCCTTAGGCTAGTCAGTTGTGGACCAGATGAGCAGGGCCTGTGTCCCAAATCCAGCCACTCATATGTGAGGAGCCACGTGTACCACATTCATGACAAGTGCCTGTCAGCTGTGGGCACCTGGGGCCTCACTGATGGAGCCTTCTGTTGGCAGGTCACAGTGATTCACAGGCACCTGGTGCTCCACTTGTGGCCTGCGGTCACTCGGGCTGAGCCCCATTCCTCCCCTTCATGACAACAGGCACTGACCAGTGAGGGAGGTCCATGGAGTAGTTTGTCACAAGGAAACAGTCTTCAAAACAGAACAGGCTTGATGCACAGTGGTGTGTATCACACAGTAATGCACTAAACAAGCCAGCCTCAGCCCTGGCTGGCGTGGCTCGGTTGGAGGCCCGTCCCATACACCGAAGGGTTGCGGTTCAATTCCTGGTCGGGGAGTGCACGGGAGGCAACAGATCGATGTTTCTCACTTTCCCTTCCTCCCCCTCCCGCTTCTGTCCCCTCTCTCTAAAAATCAGTGGACCCTCAGGTGAGTATTTAAAAAATTAAAGTTCAAAATAAAAAATTTTAAGCCAGCCTCAGTACCCAACAGTGGAGGCACAATGAACTCAGTGGAATGACCACTTGCGGGCTCTTTGAAAGTCGTAGCAATGCTGTTTACAAGGATGTGTGCAGACAGAAATGGGGCCTAATTTGGGGAGACGGCTGTAACTGAACAGTCTCCCTTGGTGGGAAGAGGAGCAGCACACGAGTGATGCTCCTGACCTGGCACAAGCCGAGCTGTTTTCTTCCTGCTCTCTGGTCTTTAGATCTGTAGGACTCGTCCTGTCTGCCTGGTTCTAAGTGTTCTGAATGGTAGTCTCTCCTTTTAGTGCCAGAAACTGGTCAGGACGGTGCAGCCGTGCGAGAGGAGCCCGCGGGCCTGCGCTGAGTCCTGGCTCCGCTGCTGATCTGCTCTGTGCCCGTGAGCAGGCCGCCTCCCTGCCCAGAGTCTGTTGCCCCACTTGGCAAGTGAAGATGGTGACACCACCCTCAGCGTAGTTCTGGGGACTGGCAGTGACGTACTTGAAGTGCTCAGCACTGTGCCCGCCCAGCCTTCAGGGAATAGTGGCATTGACCATTAACTGCTAGTCCAGTTCTGTAGAATTAGGGTGTGGAGTTTGGGCCTCGACACCCCGCTCAGCCTGTCTGCTCTGCTCTCCCTCAGGCATCCCTGTCAAGAGCACCATGGACAGTCCCACCACCACACAGTACGCCAGCCTCATGCACAACTTCATCTTGAAGGCCCGGAGCACCGTGCGTGAAATTGACCCCCAGAATGACCTCACCTTCCTTCGAATTCGCTCCAAGAAAAATGAAATTATGGTTGCCCCAGGTAAGAGGTCTCTCATCCCCTCCTGGGTCAGACCGTCACAGCACAGGCTCTGCAACGTGTGGGAAAGGCTTAGCACGTTTGTGTTTCCTCAGGTTCCACAGAAAGGCCTGAAGAGTTGAAGGGACAGAGCTGATGGCCTTGCCGCCTGTCCAGTCCCTGGCTGGCACCCCAGCCAAGACTCGGGTGCAGTGGCTGAGTCAGACGCTGTCTTGGGTTCTAGGCCAAAGAGGGGAGTCTTCGACTCACGGGGGGAGACAGACTCATAAGTGTGACCCAGTGTAACCCTCACTTTGATGTGGGCCGTTCAAGGAGCACTGGGGACGTAGGAGAGGGCGTGATTAGGCCTGCCCGGGGCGGTCGGCAGAGGCTTCCCAGAAGGTGCGTCATCTTGAGGGCACAGGAAAGAGCGGAGTAAGCAGAGGGGCAAGGAAGCTTACGTTGGAAGAAAAAAGAGTCAATGATTTTAAACCAAATCAGAAGGGAAAGATACTATATAGTCATTTTGTCTTTGAAAAAATGTTCAGTTACCCACTTCTGAAGGACAGTGCTGTCTCTCTGGGTCCCGTACAGCCGGCTTTCCCCACACCCTACCCCCGGCACTGATCACTGCTTTTGTTTCATGCGAAGTGTTGGCTTGCACTTTGGAGCTGGCTGTGTGGTACAACACCCCTGTCTTTAGGGCTTAGGATCATTCTCAGGGTGATGAGATGCTCATCCTGGGAGGAGCCCACGAGGCCTGGGACCGCAGGCGACGGCAGGACCACCTGTCCTGCCTCACCTCACTCAGCACGCACAGACTGTGGGCAGAGTCTCCAGGGCTGTTTTCGCGTTGCTGCTTCTCTCCCTCTCTCTTTTTGGGCTGAGCCACAGAGTTGAGCTTGTAGATGATGATGCAGGCAGGTTGCAGTGCAGTCCATCCGGGGCATCAGAATATGTGTAGGAGGGAGAGGGAGGTGAGACGCTTGGTTCAGGTCAGAAACGGCCTCCAACACCAAACTCGGCTGCACGGACTTGACCCCGTGAGCAGAGGTTTTTAAGGCAGGAGGCGATGTCACTGTGATTGGGGCCTAGATGGAGGAGGCAGCAGGAAGGGTAGGGACACTGAATGCCCCTGGCCTTGGTGACACAGATGGCAGAGACCAGCTGCAGAATTCTGGGGTAATTCAGTGCCTTTGAAGGACCCACAGGTTCTCCTTTGGGTGCACAGCCTTGTCAGGGGGGGCGAGGATAAAGTGACCACACCCTGGCTCTGGTGACACCCAGAGAGGCCGGCAGGGAGGGAGGGTGTGCTTGCACTCTCACTTGCTTGCTCACCGTCTTGCACTCACATCCTTGTGGGGCACACACACACACCTTGTTATGCTGGTGGGTGTGGCTTTGCCATATTGCCTTAAACACAAGGAGTGACCTTTCAGACACCCTCACCACCTCTCCAGCCACCCTGCTGCCTGAGGAGCCTCTCCCTGGGCCCCCCATCGGCCACCCTGCTGTTGGCTGCACTCCCATCCTGCCTTTTCACTTGGCTAACGGGCCCGTTTATCTGCATTTTTAAGTCTTATCTCCCCCTCTAGACAGTTCCAAAAACAAACTTGGAAACACATAGTAAGCATTTCACAAATATTTGCTGAATAAGTAAATGAAGGACTTTACAAACCTCCCTCTATTGCTGACCCTCCCACTGTGGGGGTTAGAGGTGGGGTCAGCACTGGGGATGGGGGTGGGGGATGCCCGTGGGACATGTTATTTAAGATGAAAACACCTTGGTACACCCACTTTGGTAATGGCCAGAAAAACCGTGCTGTCGGGAGCTGCTGTGCCCATCCTCTGAGGCGTTGGGCCGGATCGCCTTAGGGTTTGTGTCCGGCGCCAGTCCCTAGGCCCTTCAGGGTGGGCCTTCCTGGGGCTCTAATTAGCACCCCACACAGTGGGGAACAGCCTGGAGCGGCCCTGCCCGGGAAGGAGGCCCAGGTCCCTTCCTTCCCACCTTAATCTTCCTCATTGACCAAGCTGAGGAGACCACAAATTGCAGGAGGTGGCATCAGTTTGGTTCCCATGTATGAGTATGTACATTTCCCCCATCCTGGCCCGGGGTAGCCCATATGAAGAGATATTTTTAAGACTGTCTTTTGGTTTTCATGTATTAACTTTGTTCATATAAACCTAAGTTGTCAGCCTAATCAAGCTTTAAAACTCTGTTCCCCACAGAGCACCTGGAGTGATATTATTGAATTTAGAGCTAGATTATTCGGAAGAAAAGACACTGCTATTGCTAATTATGTCTACCTTTGTTGGTGGCTTTAGTTATTTTTATTTTTATTAGGAAGCAATTTGTGTCTTTACTTACACATTACTTAGCCATGAAACTATTAGTCATCTGAGGTCTGCTTCTCCCCAGTCCTGTCAGCCAACCATCATGGGAACAAGCAAGCTTTAGGTTAAATCAGCAGACATGAAGCAGATGTGGCCGAGGTCCTGCCATTTTGCTTGTGTTCAGCAAGCTGTCAAACCCAAGCTATCCCATCCTGCGTTTTTGCCTTGGCTTCTGCAAGCCATTTAACTCTCTGAGCCTCAGTGTCCTTGTTTGTAAAATGAGAAAACACTCATACCTGCCTCAATAGAGCGATTTGGGGATTCATTGAGGTGCCATATGAGAAATGGTTGGTCCAGGGCCTGCCACACGGAAATGTTAATAAATGTTTGCAACTTGATGAAGTGGGCAAAGTCGAAACTCTCTGCTTCTCTAGTTTCCTTGTCTGTAAAAGGAGGGCCAGCCAGGCTCAGCCCTGAGGTCTCAGACCTGCGGTGATTTCACAAGGGACATTATTCCTCCTCACTGGGCTGGATCCCCAGAGCCAGAATCCAGGTAGCTTTGGCCCCCTTTGATCTGGTGCCTTTGAAATGTTCTCATCCAGCCTGTGACAGAACTGACATTAACCCAAGAGCACTGGGGTTGAAGTTGGAATTTCATCTTTGACACCAACCGGCCAGGTGACCGTGAACTGCTGGTTCTCCCAGAGCGTGCAGCATGAGCACGACCTAGGAGTGTTAAAAATACAGATTCTCAGGCTCTACCCCAGACCTGCCGGCTCCAAAGAGCTGGGAGTGGGGCCCAGCCCTCCAGGTTATTCCATCTTAAGAACCACTGCCACAAGCAAGTTATTGAAATTCTCTGAACCCAAATTTCCCTGCCCAGAAAACAGTGATAACACCTCCCTCCCTCTTAGTTCTGGGAAGATTGGAAAAGAGGGTGCGCTGCGGGGTCACACTGGCAAAGGCTGCCGCAGGAAACTTGCAAGTTTACTTTCGAAGCCACTGGAAGTAGTCTGAGCACTGATACTTTGTATTCGGCCTGCCTGTTTTATGGTTGGTGGTTTAATGATTTAATTCTTTGCTAGTGTGTTTCTCTCCCTTTTTACATTTACTGATACTTTTTTTTCATTTTTCTTTTTTGCAGATAAAGACTATTTCTTGATTGTGATTCAGAATCCAACTGAATAAGCCACTCTCTTGGCTCCACACATCATTCCTTCATTCAGTGTCCCCAAGAAGAATAGTGTTAATCATGATTGTCAGCTGGCAGGTAGAAATCACCTGAGAGCCCATGCAGACCAATCAAGTGGCCACGGTGGGCTGTAGCTCCACCCCCTTCCACCAAAGTCATCCCCCTGCTGGCCGGTCTCCCCTGAGTTCCCAGGAGGACCCTCTTTCCCCCAGTCCAGGTTTTGAACAAGAGCCTGTGAGAGGCACGCACCCCGCTTCCTTCTAACGTTCAGTTCACTTTGTTGCCCTTGGAAAAGGCTGTTTTTCTTTAACTAAAAATAACTGAAACTTGCCCCGCTGTGTGTCTCTATAAACACTGAGTTGAAAGGGCCTCTCTCCCCCTATGTCATCACGTGGTCTGAAGGCTCACGGTGCTGCCTCCAGCCTCTGCTCAGATTGAGTTCGCAGCCTGAGAGGCCTGCTCTGCGTGGCACCCATGGCCATACTTGCCGCTCTGAGCCTGGTTTATCACTGGTACCCAGATTTCTGGGTCTCTTGCAGTGAAAGATGTTTTCTCTTACACTGCCCCGGGGAAATGAAATAATATGTGTTGAGTACCCAGAATGTATCTGGTGTATTATGTACCATGGCTCATACCATCCTCATGGAACCCTACAGACAGGGTGTCAAAGCCATCTTAATAAGGGAAATTGGGGTGTAGAGAAGGATTTGCCTGAGGTCTCACACCTGGGAGAACAGGTCTACGACTCCAGAAGTTCTGCTCTTTCTGCACGGCCTTCCCAGGAAATCCCGGACAGTCTCATTCACCTGAGGGAGCTCATCCTGGGTGAACAGATGTCTTCCCTTGGATTCATGTGGGGGGTGGGGGTGTCCCAGGACGTGCCTGCTACTCTGAGGCTGTTGACCACCCACCATTCAGCAGCACTCGGATTTTCCTCCAGAAATCACGCGTTTGTTGATTTTTTCATTAGGTTTTTTTTTCTTTTTCCTTTTGTTTCTTGTTAGAGAGGGGAAAGATACCTTGAAATCCCTCTCCATTGTCCTCTCCCCATAAGGAACCTTGTGTGCAGAGTGAGTTCTTCCATCTAGCAAAATACTTTAATAAATTTGCCAGTGAAGTTTCCTGAAACAGTATCAGAGAAGTAAAACACGTATCCTTAGGAGCCTGGCAGTGTATCGGGTTGGCCAAAAAGTCCGTATGGTTTTTTCTATAAAATAAAAAACATTTTTCATTTTCACCAATAACTTTATTGATTTGGATATTTTGAGTATGCCAGCTATCTCCTGCTGTTGGCTTCTATTGGACAGAGGCCAGGGGTGCTGCTAAATGTCTTCCAATGCATAGGACAACCCCACAGCAAAGGATTATTTGGCTAAAATGTCAGTGGTGCCAAGAAACTTTGCAAACCACTTTTGACACATTCGATCAGTCACAGCACCTTCTCCATATACTGCACAAATATTTTGTGTTTCAGTTGTGCTTTTACCTAGAAATAATAAAGCATAGTACACTGAAAATGTTGCATGTTTTCTTCCAGCTTGAATATTAAAATGGCTGCACAAAAATTCAATAATTTTGATAAGTTCTTTTTTAAATGCACTCTGATATGACAGCTGACACAATCTAACAATTGTTTTGAATGAGATTAATAACTAAGCACTATTAGAGCTATTGTATGGAAAAAAAGCTAAATGAACTTTTTAGCCAACCCCAGTAGTTTATAAGGGCTTGGCACATCTCTTCAAAATCTCTTATTTTAATGAAAGATCATAGGAATTTTCCATTGTGTAATATATCCATGTTTGTCTTAATACATTTCAAATAATCTCCCCAAATCTCCAAGCAGAACATCCCCTGGGAAACCAGCTGCAGGTGGGCCTCGTTCCCGCGGACTCAGGAAGCACACCCCGGAGAGTGGGATTGCCGGACTGGGGCACACTGGCCCGGGATCCATCTGTCTCAGATTCAGTTTTAAACGTGAAGCACGGTATCTTCTCTTTGTTCTCAGAGGCGCTCTGGGTGTGAGGTTCCTATGTACTCCTGGCTTGAGTTTCTCCAGGAAGAATAATGGGGGGAGATCTGATCCCTCCCAGCGTCTCTGTTTTTTTTTCTTTTAATTTTTTTTATTGATTATGCTGTTACAGTTGTTCTATTCCCCCCTTCATTCCCCTCCACCCTACCCTGCCTGTCCCCACCATTACCCCCCCTTTAGTTTATGACCATGTGTCTCAAGTCCTTTAGATTCTATATTTCCCACGCTATTCTTGCCCCCCCATCTATTTTCTATCTACTGTCTATGCTACTTATTTTCTGTACCTTCTCCCCCCTTCTCCTCCTCCCACTCCCCTGTAAGAAACATGAACAGTGAAAGGATAACAAACTCACAGTTATTAACAACCACACCTAAAACAAAAGCAAACTAAAAAGACAGCTAGATCAGGGGTGGAAACAGAAATGAAGATCCCAGCGTCCCTCCTATTTGCCTTGGGGTTCCCCATCCTAAAACTCCCTCGGGGTCCTGAGGAAAGTAGGCTCAGTCTGACTTTAGTGAAAAGCAGGGAACTCGTGAAGATGAAGATGCTGCACCTCCCCATCCCCCGTGGGAAGCCACCTGGGATCATCCCGGTTTGTCCTGCAGCCTGGACAGGGGTGTAGCACATGCAGACGCCCTAGCATTTCTGTACTTGGGAGCAGCAAGTGTGTGGGAATGCAGTATCCACTAACGTTACAAACTGATCGCTGCCCTGAGCGTGGAGGGACAGGCACAGCTTCTGGGTTTCAGACTATATTTGCCTAAGCACGGTGTGCCTGCTCCCAGCATCATGAAAAATTGCAAACAGTCGAAATAATTTTACATTCTCCATTTTACTCTACAATTAACATCACATAACTCCATCCCATTTGGTGCGTTTCAAAGGACAGTTGCAGGCAGGACACACTCCTAAATACTTCAGTGTCCGTGTTATCGACTAGCTGACTCTTTTTGGTAGGTGGGTGAGATTTACATACAGTGAAATTTACACATAAGTATACCACTTAAGTGACAAATATGTATACCTGTCGACTTCCCCTTCAAGATCACATCACCCCAGCAATTTCCACCTCGCAGTTCGTATCCATGGTCTGCGCCAATTCCCATCAGCTGTGGACTTCACCTTCCAAGGTCCAGCTCTTGGCTGGGGTCCCAGTACAGAGGGCCACTGTCAGGAAAGTCATTGCCTGTCGGGGAAAATGCAGCAGCTGCTACAGCCTCCGTTCATCATTCATTGCCCTGCTTCAGCACTCGCTGGTGTTCCTTGGAATCTCGATGTTCCTCTGTGAGTTGGTACCACCTTTACCGCCTCCCCCCAAAAAAATGCTTATTAAAACACTCTAGGATGCCCTGACCAGTGTGGCTCAGTTGGCTGTGCATAGGCTGCAAAGTGAAAGGTCGCCAGTTTGATCCTGGTCGGGGCACAGGCCTGGGTTTCAGGTTCATCCCCCTGAAGAGGCAACTGTTCCATTATTTGCAGCAGGTAGAAAATGCCAAAGACATCATATTGGAAGACACAATTCAATGTCAGTGAGCTTTAGCTGATCTATTACATTCAACTGACAAGGAAAACAACACAAAGCACTAGTCCTATTGTAATGTTAAACAAGCTCAGTTGGATCAAAGACCAATTTTATCTTGGTTTTTCACTGTGTTAAGTTTATTCGGTGGCGCTCAACCTTCCCGTCTCTGAATGTAATGTAGGAAGTCCCAGGCCTCCCTCACCACTTTCGGGTACTGAAGGCCCTGCCTTGGGTAGGTGATGCGTCTGGTCCGGTGTAACAACGAAACCTTTGAGCTGCCTTTGGAGATAGAGGCCACCCCTTCCCCAGCTCTAGCCCTTCCCCCTGTGGGGGGCGGCAGGGGGGCAGCAGAGGGGTTGGGAGGAGGAGGCAGCAAGGCTTGTCCTTGTTCCTGCACCGTGTACTGTAACAATACTGTTGTGAACTGGCTTCTGGCTCTCCGAGCCAGTGTGTGTAAAGCCGAAACGTGCTTCTGGGACATCTTTCATGAGTTTGCAAAGATCTGTTCCTTGTCCCCACACCCATCCACTTCTCTCGTCCTCCTACCTGCCATTCCCTTATTTTGGATGATGCACTCTCTCTGGTTGGCTCCTTACAACCCTTTTTTGTCCCCTGGTTTTCAGTCTCCTTCTGTTGACTCAAGCGCCTCCCTCCGTGGGTGGCGGGAGTCACAGCACTTCACCAGCTTCTGAAAGTTTTCTCTGACTTCCAGCTCTTCCACAGGCTAAAGGCCAGGCAGAAGTCTGAACTCACTTTGGGCCGCCTTGCTAGTCCTGCACTGACTGGTCCTGCTCCTTTCCTGGTCTACAGCAACTATTGCCTTGGGTGTCACAGCAGAAACTGAAATGAAAATAATTTCACTTGAGCCAGTGTATCTCAGTAGATTGAGTGCGGGCCCGTGAACCAAATAACCATGGTTCGATTCCCAGTCAAGGCACATGCCTGGGTTGCAGGGCAGTTCCCAGCAGGGGACGCACAAGAAATAACCATACATTGATATTTTTCTCCCTCTCTCCTTCCCTTCCCCTCTAAAGATAAATAAATAAAATCTTAAAAAAAAGAAAATAATTATACTTGAACTTCCTAGTTCACAAGAAATACAGTGTTAAAGATTGTTTAGCCCTGGCCAGTGTGGCTCGGTTGGTACATTGTCCCATAAACCAAAAGGTCATGGGTTCGATTCCTGGTCAGGACATATACTCAGGTTGCAGATTCAGCCCCCAGTTGAAGCGAGAGGCAACCAATCGATGTTTCTCACATCAATATTTCTCTCCCTCTCTCCCTTTCCCTTCCCCTCTTAAAAAAAGAAAGAAAGAAAAGACTGCCTAAAGGCAAGATGAAACAAGGAATGGAAAAAATGTTTTAACTTTTTGAGTTTTAAATGCTTTTTGACATACAAAACTATTGTTTGACTGGTTTTCCGACATTTTTAGGGGAAACATGAACAAAAGTAGATTGCCTATAAGCTGTTTTTATTTTACGGCCAACCTTTACAAAAGTGCTTTATTCATTTATTCATTCAGCAGGCATTTAGTGAATGCCTATTATGTACCAGGCCTTAGTCTAAAAATAAAGGAGATAATGACCATCGTTTAGTGGAGATGAGACAGCCAATTAAAAAAAAACAACAACTGTACTTGGGACACACCCTAGACCAATTAAATCGTATTCCCTGAGAGGAATCCGGGACATCGCTAGTTGGTACCGGCTCCCAGGTCTTTATGGAGCTGAGAACCACTGGCCTGGCACCTTGTACCCCGTGGTGAAGTGTACGA